GTAGTGTAGTAGAGCACGTGATACTGCTGACCCCGCTGCATAACACACAAGGTGGGCCGTGGTGTAGTGTAGTAGAGCACGTGATACTGCTGACCCCGCTGCATAACACACAAGCTGGTCCGTGGTGTAGTGTAGTAGAGTACATGGTACTGCTGACTCAGCTGCATAACACACAAGGTGGGCCGTGGTGTAGTGTAGTAGAGTACATGATACTGCTGACTCAGCTTCATAACATACAAGGTGGGCCGTGGTGTAGTGTAGTAGAGCACGTGATACTGCTGACCCCGCTGCATAACACACAACGTGGGCCGTGGTGTAGTGTAGTAGAGTACATGATACTGCTGACCCCGCTGCATAACACACAAGGTGGGCCGTGGTGTAGTCTAGTAGAGTACATGATACAGCTGACTCAGCTTCATAACACACAAGGTGGGCCGTGGTGTAGTGTAGTAGAGTACATGATACTGCTGACTCAGCTTCATAACACACAAGGTGGGCCGTGGTGTAGTGTAGTAGAGTACATGATACTGCTGACTCAGCTGCTGACTCAGCTTCATAACATACAAGGTGGGCCGTGGTGTAGTGTAGTAGAGCACGTGATACTGCTGACTCAGCTGCATAACACACAAGGTGGGCCGTGGTGTAGTGTAGTAGAGTACATGATACTGCTGACTCAGCTTCATAACATACAAGGTGGGCCGTGGTGTAGTGTAGTAGAGTACATGAGACTGCTGACTCAGCTTCATAACACACAAGGTGGGCCGTGGTGTAGGGTAGTAGAGGTACATGATCCGCTTACTCAGCTGCTGACTCAGCTTCATAACACACAAGGTGGGCCGTGGTGTAGTGTAGTAAAGCACGTGATACTGCTGACCCAGCTGCATAACACACAAGGTGGGCCGTGGTGTAGTGTAGTAAAGCACGTGATACTGCTGACTCAGCTGCATAACACACAAGGTGGGCCGTGGTGTAGTGTAGTAGAACACGTGATACTGCTGACCCCGCTGCATAACACACAAGGTGGGCCGTGGTGTAGTGTAGTAGAGCACGTGATACTGCTGACCCCGCTGCATAACACACAAGGTGGGCCGTGGTGTAGTGTAGTAGAGTACATGATACTGCTGACCCCGCTGCGTAACACACAAGATGGGCCGTGGTGTAGTGTAGTAGAGTACATGATACCGCTGACTCAGCTTCATAACATACAAGGTGGGCCGTGGTGTAGTGTAGTAGAGCACGTGATACTGCTGACCCCGCTGCATAACACACAAGGTGGGCCGTGGTGTAGTGTAGTAGAGTACATGATACTGCTGACTCAGCTGCATAACACACAAGGTGGGCCGTGGTGTAGTGTAGTAGAGTACATGAAACTGCTGACCCCGCTGCATAACACACAAGGTGGGCCGTGTTGTAGTGTAGTAGAGTACATGATACTGCTGACTCAGCTGCATAACACACAAAGTGGGCCGTGGTGTATAGTAGTAGAGTACATGAAACTGCTGACCCCGCTGCATAACACACAAGGTGGGCCGTGGTGTAGTGTAGTAGAGCACGTGATACTGCTGACCCCGCTGCATAACACACAAGGTGGGCCGTGGTGTAGTTTAGTAGAGTACATGAGACTGCTGACTCAGCTTCATAACACACAAGGTGGGCCGTGGTGTAGTGTAGTAGAGTACATGATACGCTTACTCAGCTTCATAACACACAAGGTGGGCTGTGGTGTAGTGTAGTAAAGCATGTGATACTGCTGACTCAGCTGCATAACACACAAGGTGGGCCGTGGTGTAGTGTAGTAGAGTACATGAAACTGCTGACCCCGCTCCATAACACACAATGTGGGCCGTGGTGTAGTGTAGTAGAGCACGTGATACTGCTGACTCAGCTGCATAACACACAAGGTGGGCCGTGGTGTAGTGTAGTAGAGTACATGATACTGCTGTCTCAGCTGCATAACACACAAGGTGGGCCGTGGTGTAGTGTAGTAGAGTACGTGATACTGCTGACTCAGCTGCATAACACACAAGGTGGGCCGTGGTGTAGTGTAGTAGAGTACGTGATACTGCTGACTCAGCTGCATAACACACAAGGTGGGCCGTGGTGTAGTGTAGTAGAGTACGTGATACTGCTGACTCAGCTGCATAACACACAAGGTGGGCCGTGGTGTAGTGTAGTAGAGTACATGATACTGCTGTCTCAGCTGCATAACACACAAGGTGGGCCGTGGTGTAGTGTAGTAGAGTACGTGATACTGCTGACTCAGCTGCATAACACACAAGGTGGGCCGTGGTGTAGTGTAGTAGAGTACGTGATACTGCTGACTCAGCTGCATAACACACAAGGTGGGCCGTGGTGTAGTGTAGTAGAGTACGTGATACTGCTGACTCAGCTGCATAACACACAAGGTGGGCCGTGGTGTAGTGTAGTAGAGTACATGATACTGCTGTCTCAGCTGCATAACACACAAGGTGGGCCGTGGTGTAGTGTAGTAGAGTACGTGATACTGCTGACTCAGCTGCATAACACACAAGGTGGGCCGTGGTGTAGTGTAGTAGAGTACGTGATACTGCTGACTCAGCTGCATAACACACAAGGTGGGCCGTGGTGTAGTGTAGTAGAGTACGTGATACTGCTGACTCAGCTGCATAACACACAAGGTGGGCCGTGGTGTAGTGTAGTAGAGTACATGATACTGCAGACTCAGCTTCATAACATAGAAGGTGGGCCGTGGTGTAGTGTAGTAGAGCACGTGATACTGCTGACTCAGCTGCATAACATACAAGGTGGGCCGTGGTGTAGTGTAGTAGAGTACGTGATACTGCTGACCCCGCTGCATAACACACAAGGTGGGCCGTGGTGTAGTGTAGTAGAGGACGTGATACTGCTGACTCAGCTTCATAACATACAAGGTGGGCCGTGGTGTAGTGTAGTAGAGCACGTGATAGTGCTGACTCAGCTGCATAACACACAAGGCGGGCCGTGTAGTAGTATAGTAGAGTACGTGATACTGCTGACTCAGCTGCATAACACACAAGGTGGGCCGTGGTGTAGTGTAGTAGAGTACATGATACTGCTGACTCAGCTGCATAACACACAAGGTGGGCCGTGGTGTAGTGTAGTAGAGTACATGATACTGCTGACTCAGCTGCATAACATACAAGGTGGGCCGTGGTGTAGTGTAGTAGAGTACGTGATACTGCTGACTCAGCTGCATAACACACAAGGTGGGCCGTGGTGTAGTGTAGTAGAGTACATGATACTGCTGACTCAGCTGCATAACACACAAGGTGGGCCGTGGTGTAGTGTAGTAGAGTACATGATACTGCTGACTCAGCTGCATAACATACAAGGTGGGCCGTGGTGTAGTGTAGTAGAGTACATGATACTGCTGACTCAGCTGCATAACATACAAGGTGGGCCGTGGTGTAGTGTAGTAGAGTACATGATACTGCTGACAACCGTGGTGCTGTCCGTAATGGTTTCATGTATTAACTATCCGGGTCTATTTTGAGTTTGATAGTTTACTGAACTTAAGACAAACTCGTCGTTTATGGCGCAGTTTATGGCTCCCAGAGTGTTTCTGCTGTAGTGGCTTCGCAATTGAGAGGATGTCAGTGAATTAATTTTTGAGCAAATTGATCGACCACCTGGGTTACATGGCTACTACCTTCAACCGCCGCAGCTGGAGACCCTGGCCTAGGAAGTTGAATGGGTCGTGGAACTGCTGCTGCCCAGCGAGAGGACCCTCCGTGTTATTGCACAAGTCAAGTGGCCCGTGTAGCTGTGTGACAGCTAGGGAGAGTGCACCATTGCGTTAGGTAGCAGAGCATCAATCTAGAGACACTAAGTAAACAAGGTCCAACTCTGACAACCATTGCATGGTCCAACCTCAACGTCTTTGATATTATCAATGAACAATGAACCTTCCTTTGTGATTATGGGTGCGTTCGCGGACCCACGTCGGCATTCAGGGATGTCCCTCTCTTTCCTTTGTTTGGAAGCATAGTCAGTATGTATACAGATCCTAGTTGGGTGACTCAGTGGTGTCTGTATATGTTAGGACTGATTTCGATCTGAAGTGAAACTGAATAAATAATCGGTCTGTCTGTATATGTCTACTATTTATTCCTGTGTACGTCTCTCGTATTTCTTCATTCACTCAAGTGACATTAATTTCAACCTGAAGCCAATCTCAACATAAGCTTGCTGTGTTCCCCCTAATCTCGTTTGTATAATGCACTTATTGACTTATTGTCATCCATCCCATAGTATTGTTCATTACCAGTATTGTTTATATTTATAACATCATCATTGTCATATGACATTGGCTATATATTGGGGAAGGGGGGTGGGGGGTCCTCACTCTAGGCCCATCATCAAGTTTATTCTCCCGGTTTGTCATAATTGGTAATTTCCAAACTCAGTCATTCTATAACAGTTTGTAGAATAATTTAGAAACAAGAGGCAAAATTATCCTGGAGGACCACAGTTTTATTATATATGTGGATTGACGTATGTATATCCTTCTTTGTTCCATTTACACCATTGAAACTGCTTTTCCAGTCGTTCATACTTCCAGCACACTTGTATAGAAGATCATCTGGGCTTGCTGGCGGAACCAAAAACGGAGGGGGTCTCAGCAGATGCAGTTTTAGAAACAATAAGTTAACAAGATTCAGGGAATTATGGATGCATTCCCGCATGAAGGAGATAATGGGTGAAATACGTCTACCACGTACTGTCCTAAGTATAGTTAAGGGGGTAATGGCGTAACAAGGTCACAGACTGACCATATGGGATCGAACAGAAGTCTGTTTGTATGTATGGCATTTATTACAGACACAGGAAGACGCTGACCAAGAGTGTGACAACAAACTCAGGTCGTCACGCTGTTTATATACATGATAATAATTACATCTATTCTACATTGAAGCGGAAACTCGCCCTGCCTGACAGGTGGCGTGTCGCTTGGGGCGTCAATCAGCCATCCTGAACTACAAATGACGGACAACGTTACAAAGGGCGGACAACGTTACAAAGGGCGGACAACGTTACAAAGGACGGACAACGTTACAAAGGGCGGACAACGTTACAAAGGGCGGACAACGTTACAAAGGACGGACAACGCGTACGTTACAAAGGGCGGACAACGTTACAAAGGACGGACAACGCGTATGTTACAAAGGGCGGACAACGTTACAAAGGACGGACAACGTTACAAAGGGCGGACAACGTTACAAAGGGCGGACAACGTTACAAAGGACGGACAACGCGTACGTTACAAAGGGCGGACAACGTTACAAAGGACGGACAACGCGTACGTTACAAAGGGCGGACAACGTTACAAAGGACGGACAACGTTACAAAGGGCGGACAACGTTACAAAGGGCGAACAACGTTACAAAGGACGGACAACGTTTCAAAGGGCGGACAACGTTACAAAGGACGGACAACGTTACAAAAGGCGGACAACGTTACAAAGGACGGACAACGTTACAAAGGGCGGACAACGTTACAAAGGGCGGACAACGTTACAAAGGGCGGACAACGCGTACGTTACAAAGGGCGGACAACGTTACAAAGGACGGACAACGTTACAAAGGGCGGACAACGTTACAAAGGGCGGACAACGTTACAAAGGACGGACAACGTTACAAAGGGCGGACAACGTTACAAAGGACGGACAACGTTACAAAAGGCGGACAACGTTACAAAGGACGGACAACGTTACAAAGGGCGGACAACGTTACAAAGGGCGGACAACGTTACAAAGGACGGACAACGTTACAAAGGGCGGACAACGGACAACGTTACAAAGGGCGGACAACGTTACAAAGGGCGGACAACGTTACAAAGGGCGGACAACGTTACAAATGACGGACAACGGAACAAAGGGCGGACAACGTTACAAAGGGCGGACAACGTTACAAATGACGGACAACGTTACAAAGGGCGGACAATGTTACAAAGGGCGGACAACGTTACAAAGGGCGGACAACGTTACAAAGGGCGGACAACGTTACAAATGACGGACAACGTTACAAAGGGCGGACAACGTTACAAAGGGCGGACAACGTTACAAAGGGCGGACAACGTTACAAAGGACGGACAACGTTACAAAGGGCGGACAACGTTACAAAGGACGGACAACGTTACAAAGGGCGGACAACGTTACAAAGGACGGACACTTAATTATCTTGTAGTTCTTTTATTGTCTGACGCAAGTGCGGCAGCTGTGCTGGACGATACGGTTTTTACTTAATGATTTAACTTAATATTTCCTTATGCTAATAAGTTATGGAATATGTACATATATGTATGTACATTAATAATATTCTTATTTACTTGTTGTCACACAAATACGTTACATATATATATGTATGTGCGTGCGTACGATCGTGCGTGCGTGCGCGCGTGTGTGTGTGACAATACGTTAATTCCCCAGTGAGAATATTACTATTGTAATGTGATCAGAAGATTATGTATTTTGATTGAAAAGTTAAAAGAACACTTCTTTTGTCATTCCTTCATAGATTCCTAACTATGTAGTCAAAGGCAAAGGTTTCACACGGAGATGTATTCGTGAGAGTGTAGGAATTACAGCTGGTCTCTTTGCATTTATGTTGTATGCTTTCACATACACGTCATCGAGCCAAGCCAAGCCCAATTTGAAATACATGTAATCTAACCAAACCCCCTTTGAAATACATATCATCTAGTCAAACCCACTTTGAAAGACATATCACCTAGCCAGAACCACTTTGAAAGACATGCCATCCAGACCAGTCCTCTTTGAAATACATGCCATCTAACCTAACCAAACTCACTTTGAAATACGTGTCATTTTGACAAACCTACTTTGTAATACATATCATATAGCCAAACCTACTTTTGCATGTTATCTATTTGGATTTAATCTCCCTTACCAGTACGTAAATAGTTGGAAGCAGCGCGACCTTTCTGTCGACGATTGTGTATATTCTTAATGATCAATATCATGCAATTCGCAATTTGTAGTTTTTCTCTTAAACCTCCGAAATGAATTCCGGTTGACTTACGAAAGGAGTACCTATGAACGGCCACTGTTATCTATATACCCAAGTCTCATTAACATGAGGCGTTGTCGGGGGCAGGGCGATGCTGAGTATCTTCACCTTAAAGTCACATGTGCGACCTACTGCACGATACATACTATACACAAGTATCAGCTTATATAAATGTATGAATTACAAAAAGTCAACAATGACTTGAACGATGATGAAATAAAGATAGTGAACGAGGGGTTTGGGGGCTTTATTGGGCGGTGGAGTGGTATATATACATTGTACTCATGATTGGAATCGACCTTGGCGGGGCGAAGAAACGCCGTAACCTCTAGGCTAACTGTTTACCCCTAAAAAATTGAATTTTGGATATAAAACAATAATTGGTCTTCAAATAATTAATGACGTATTTAATCAGGATATAAAATGCTCTTTATGGACAATGAGCATAAGGTGATATGTCCTTGTAATACATGATGGCCGTCTGAACTGCATTTTCAACTGAAAACAATTATCCAAATAATTATTCCTCTGTTTGGTTAAGGTACCTGCATCAGATTTTTAACGAAGGAATCCAATTCGATGTTCATTTACAAACCTCAAATACCCGTCACAATCACTACCATCGCGCCCTCCCCCGTCATTGTGTAATACCTGATGAGAAATAATTTCTGCGCTTTGTATTTTTATTTAAGGTTACAATGTGCATAACACTCCCTGCCATACTAATGTATGCCCGGGGCATTTTCCACCTCTGGAGCTATGGAGATACGTTGTATGACAGACAGACATTACCATTGCCACTGCATCCCGTTTGGAATAAGTGTAAATATGCCTGTTGCATGCATCACTTTCAAACCCCTAGGAAAGGAGTGAGGCATAGTCTTTTTTATGTGTTCATTAATTTCAAACATGAAAAAATAATATGACATAAAAATCGTTTATTTTCATATTTGATGCATCACCAGGAACACATGGAAAAATTCTTTTTAGTTGCATCCATTCGTAACATTTGGCACAGAAGGACATACTTACATATGCCAATATCATTTTCCATAGGTGATGTCGCGAATGGGAATAGAATCCATCAATGTCAAACGTTATTCGAAACATGAGGGCATCAATGCACTATTTTATGTAGTGAGTGATCTTCTGTTAGTGTCTGAAATTGGCTTCAACACGGAAACAGATTCAAATCGATATCGCTGAATAATTTCATTTCGGCCTGCAAAACGTTTCCATTAAAGTTAAAAGTCACATGTGGTTGCAGGAACATAGTCCTGTCCTAGACCTGAGCAGGGACCTTAGATGTTGTAGATCAACAGTCACATATAACTAATTGAGAATCCATTGGATTTTTTTTTAACCTTTCTCCTTGGTGTGTAACCTTATAGTTCGGTTGAGTAAAGTGCAAATCCGGGAAACAGTTCTCCCATGGAGACTTGCATTGCCCACTGGTATCCCCCTCCTACACCCCGTGAGGGACGTGCAGTTTTCTGAAAACTGAATATTAAAAAAGTGCACGTTCCAGTGCATCGTTGTCTTTGACGTGATTTCTGTGTGTCACCACGACTTGAAATAATGGTAAAGGGATATTTGTAATGCGCTATAGTCCAGCCGATGAAGCATACTCAAAGCTCTAACACCATGATCACCCTGGTCATGGGTCAAAGTGCTCTTGATTGTCTTTCTCAGCTCTCTGGGGAGTAGAAAACCCAAGCTGCCTGTGAGGTTAACAGTCATATTACCATCTCATCCTACCGGTGCTGGGTTAACAGAGGCATATACCGAACAAAGCCACTTGCCTAAAGAGACACATGGTATATGTAGTTCATGTAGGGCAGGACCTAAGTCCTAGAAACTCTTAGAGTCAAGCTACCGAACGCGGCCACCAATCTACTCTCCGCGACCGACGTTTCTTAACACCTGATCCGGATCTTTAAGACTAAGTTGGTACACACCACACTCGAAATTATGTTGGTGAAGGTGTGCTTCGACACAATACTGTCAGCGTGTAGATGTGTTTCATTACAGAAGATGCATAGGTGACAATAACCTTCACTTTATCAGGCGGAGTAAGTTATGTGTTCTATATCTTTGACACTCAATTACATTTCGCAATGACGGGCATTCAAAATTGTCGTATCCATGCAAGAGGAAACTCCACTTTTTGGGGGTCAGTAATAAAATGGCGCTGATCTAGAACGACGTACTGTTTTCTGGTGCATACTGAAGAGAATAAGGACATTTTACAGTGAAACAACATTCCTTCTCAAATATCAGCGTCTTAGTCACAGCATCTTCAATTTCCACCTAGAATCAAGATGATGCATCAGTATGAAAGGGTGAATCTTTCAGTTTCTACAGTTTCAACTTGAACTAGTTTCACGCTTGCCATGATGACGGCTATGAGACACCACTTGCCATGATGACGGCTATGAGACACCGCTTGCCAGGGAGACGGCTATGAGACACCGCATGCCGTGGAGACGGCTATGAGACACCGCATGCCAGGGAGACTACTCTGAGACACCACTTGCCAGGGAGACGGCTATGAGACACCACTTGCCATGATGACGGCTATGAGACACCACTTGCCAGGGAGACGGCTATGAGACACCGCATGCCAGGGAGACGGCTTTGAGACACCACTTGCCAGGGAGACGGCTATGAGACACCACTTGCCAGGGAGACGGCTATGAGACACCACTTGCCAGGGAGACGGCTATGAGACACCGCATGCCAGGGAAACGGCTTTGAGACACCACTTGCCAGGGAGACTACTCTGAGACACCGCTTGCCAGGGAGACGGCTATGAGACACCGCATGCCAGGGAGACGGCTATGAGACACCGCTTGCCAGGGAGACGGCTTTGAGACACCGCTTGCCAGGGAGACGGCTATGCGACACCGCTTGCCAGGGAGACGGCTATGAGACACCGCTTGCCAGGGAAACTACTCTGAGACACCGCTTGCCATGGAGACGGCTATGAGACACCACTTGCCAGGGAGACTAATCTGAGACACCGCTTTCCATGGAGACGGCTATGAGACACCACTTGCCAGGGAGACTACTCTGAGACACCGCTTGCCATGGAGACGGCTATGAGACACCACTTGCCAGGGAGACTACTCTGAGATACCGCATGCCAGGGAGACGGCTATGAGACACCGCATGCCGGGGAGACTACTCTGAGACACCGCTTGCCATGGAGACGGTTATGAGACACCGCATGCCAGGGAGACGGCTATGAGACACCGCATGCCGTGGAGACGGCTATGAGACACCGCATGCCAGGGAGACGGCTATGAGACACCGCATGCCAGGGAGACTTCTCTGAGACATCGCATGCCCGGGAGACTACTCTGAGACACCGCATGCCAGGGAGACGGCTATGAGACACCGCATGCCAGGGAGACGGCTATGAGACACCGCATACCAGGGAGACGGCTATGAGACACCGCATGCCAGGGAGACTACTCTGAGACACCGCATGCCAGGGAGACGGCTATGCGACACCGCATGCCGTGGAGACGGCTATGAGACACCGCATGCCATGGAGACGGCTATGAGACACCGCATGCCGTGGAGACGGCTATGAGACACCGCATGCCATGGAGACGGCTATGAGACACCGCATGCCAGGGAGACTACTCTGAGACACCGCTTGCCATGGAGACGGTTATGAGACACCGCATGCCAGGGAGACGGCTATGAGACACCGCATGCCGTGGAGACGGCTATGAGACACCACATGTCAGGGAGACGGCTATGAGACACCGCATGCCGTGGAGACGGCTATGAGACACCGCATGCCAGGGAGACGGCTATGAGACACCGCATGCCAGGGAGACGGCTATGAGATAAAGTATCCCAAAGATAAAAGTATTTGTCTTACAACTTTAGTTTTAGATCTGGGGAACCACAGTGGATGTGCCATAATATCTGCACATGTTCCATTCCAAATCCTGTTAATGATGGCATTG